TTCCTTAGTGTCCTTGTTACTAGGATTGGAGATGGGCCTGAATCAACACTCCCAAATTGGAATAAGACAACCATTGGGGAAGCTTGAATCCAGATCTAAACTTCACAACAAGCCCCATCTCTATCATGGGCTCTACGAAAACACTCTGGAGTCCAGCAACTTTAGGAGAGGCTGAAACCATTTCTGAATTTTGGGCTTTGGGCCAATTTTAGAGCAAGGGTGAAAGAGACATGGACACCTTGAGCTCCACAGTGCTCCAGGAATGCAGAGTTGTAAAATCCTTTCTGCAGGGTCACCTTCTTTCCACTGCAGAGCTGGTTCCTCTGGGTAAGAAAACTTGCTAACCTAGTGAGGAGGGCTTTAAATTAGGTTCGCCGGGGAATGGTGACCTTAGCCCAGAGGTAAGTGGGGGAGTGTGATACTGGGAGGAAACAAAAGGAGCAGGGTGCAAAGGGGAGGCCTCCTGATTCATACTGAGAAAGCAGGGCAATCAGCTAGTTACATTAGGTGCCTGTACACGAACGCAAGAGGCCTGGGAAACAAGCAGGAAGAATTGGAAGTCCTGGCACAGTCAAGGAACTATGATGTGATTGGAATAACAGAGACTTGGTGGGGTAACTCACATGACTAGAGCACTGTCATGGGTAGGTATAACCTGTTCAGGAAGCATGGGGGTGGGGGGAGAGAAAGGTGGGGGAGTTGCACTGTATGTCAGGGAGCAGTGTGACTGCTCAGAGCTCCGGTATGAAACTAGAGGAAAACCCTGTTGAGTCTTTGGGTGAAGTTTAGCGGCGAGAGCAACAAGGGTGATGTGGTGGTGGGTGTCTGCTATGGACCACCAGACTAGGTGGAGCAGGGAGACGAGGCTTTCTTCGGACAACTAATGGGAAATTTCCAGATCATGGGCCCTGGTTCTCATGGGGGACTTCAGTCACCCTGACATCTGCTGGGAGAGCAATACAGCAGTGCACCAACAATCCAGGAAGTTTTTGGAGAGTGTTGGGGACAACTTCCTGGTGCAAATGCTGGAGGAACCAACTTGGGGCCCTGCTCCTCTTGACCTGCTGCTCAGAAACAGGGAAGAATTGGGAGGGGAAGTAGAAGTGGGTGGCAACCTGGGCAGCAGTGACCAGGAGATGGTCGAGTTCAGGATCCTGAAAAAAGGAAGAAAGAAGAGCAGCAGAATATGGACTCTGGACGAGGCTGAGGAGGGCACCTGAAAATTTGGGGCACCCACTGGGTCTTGGTGTCCACCGTCCCGGCTTTTCCTATCCCTGTTCTGACCCTTCCTGCAGGCTCCCACAGCTGGCTGCTGTAGCCTGGTGACTCTTACTCTGGAGGGGATCCTGTAACTTAAAAGTGAAAAAGCCTTCCAGCCCTATTAGCACAACACTGAAACTGTTAAAGAGCCATTCAAGTGGTAATGAAGCCATTTAACAAGCATTTGCCAAACCCCAGGTATATACTGTCGGTTTCTGAATTTACTGACAAAAACAGTTATGCATTACTGTAATATTTACTCAGAACATGTTAGTCTATAGGACCTTAGTTTAAAACTTGCTTTAAAAATATTTCATTAGTGAGTTGGTGAAGATTATAAAATCATATCTCTTAAAAAATCCTTGCATAGATTTTTTTTAGATGCACAATCATCTTTAGCCTTAAATGCTTGGATCTTCAGACATATAGGTTTTTAAATAAATCCTTCAAAAGACCACCCTTATCTAAAATACACATTTTAATTGTAATTACTATATTAAAAAAACTTCCTATCCTTTCTATCCATCCCTTTCTCCGTTCACCCCCTGTTAAGGGACAACATCCCTTTCCTTCCAGATAGCTGGACAAAGAGTTTCCCTTTCTTTACTTCTGACTATCTGATGAACTAGTTTTAAGAGAACCCTCCAGCAAAATAAGTACCTTATAAGATATAAAATCCTTTGTTATGCCTAAAATCTTTGGAAACATATTTTTAAAGTTGGTGAAATTTTATAAACATGTCTATTGTTATGGAGATCACCCAAAGAAAATTAGTGTTCATTTTTTCTAAAAGCAATGAACATTGTAATGAACACACTAAACCTCTGTGACTGATTAATTTAAAATAATGTCTTTGTTTCAGTGAGTTAAATATGTAGTAATCTGGAATGATTATTTTATGAAGGCTTAAGAGTACATTTAAAATATAAAATCAGCTTAGAAATACTGATTAAGAAAATATAAAACAGAGAAGAGCTACATCATGTATTCCATAATATTTAATGTTGTATTCAGCAAGACAGCTGACTCGCCCTTACTACAAAGTTTTGCAAATAAATCTCTGACAAATTTCAGGGCCTATCAAAAAACCTGTAACTGACATTTTTTAGTGCTTTTAATTAGATACCTTCTGCATGTCCATTCTGCGTGAGGGAGAGGGTACCGGGGTCTCTGCGGGGAACTGTGACTTTCCGTCACTGTGAGGCGGGCCGAGCGTCACGGTATCCTTTGCTGCATCGTTCCTGCCCCCAACCCTCAGGCTGTGAGCCTGGGCTGCCATCAGGCGTAAGGGCAACAGTTTAATAATACTACGTAGGGCCCCATAAATCCTGAGGATGGCCCTGCTTGGACTTTAGAAAAGCAGACTTTGACTCCTTCAGAGAACTGATGGGCAGGATTCCCTGGGAGGCTAATATGAGGGGGAAAGCAGTCCAGGAGAGCTGGCTGTATTTTAAAGAAGCCTTACTGAGGGCGCAGGAACAAACCATCCAGATGTTCAAAAAGAACAGCAAATATGGCAGGTGACCAGCTTGGCTTAACGGTGAAATCTTCAGTGAGCTTAAACACAAAAAAGAAGCTTACAAGAAGTGGAAACTTGGACAGATGACTGGGGAGGAGTACAAAAATATTGCTCGAGCATGCAGAGGTGTAATCAGGAAGGCCAAAGCACAATTGGAGTTGCAGCTAGCAAGGGATGCGAAGGGTAACAAGAAGGGTTTCTACAAGTATGTTAGCAACAAGAAGAAGGTCGGGGAAAGTGTGGGACCCTTACTGAATGGGGGAGGCAACGTAATGACACATGATGTGGAAAAAGCTGAGGTACTCAATGCTTTTTTTGCCTCGGTCTTCACGAACAAGGTCAGCTCCTAGACTGCTGCACTGGGCAGCACAGTATGGGGAGGAGGTGAGCAGTCCTCAGTCCTTCACCTGTTCTTTCACCACTATTTAGAAAAGCTGGACATGCATAAGTCCATGGGTCCAGATCTAATGCATCTGAGGGTGGTGAGGGAGTTGGCTGATGTGATTGCAGAGCCATTGGCCATTATCTTTGAAAACTTGTGGCGATCGAGGGAGATCCCAGACGATTGGAAAAAGGCAAATATAGTGCCCATCTTTAAAAAAGGGAAAGAAGGAGAATCTGGAGAACTACAGACTGGTCAGCCTCACCTCAGTCCCTGGAAAAATCATGGAGCAGGTCCTCAAGGAATCAATTCTGAAGCACTTGGAGGAGAGAAAGGTGATCAGGAACAGTCAACATGGATTTACCAAGGGCAAGTCATGCCTGACCAACCTGATTGCCTTCTATGATGAGATAACTGGCTCTGTGCATATGGGGAAAGCAGTGGATGTGATATATCTTGACTTTAGCAAAGCTTTTGATACGGTCTCCCACAGTATTCTTGCCAGCAAGTTAAAGAAGTATGGATTGGATTAATGGACTATAAAGTGGATAGAAAGCTGGCTAGATCATTGGGCTCAGTGGGTAGTGATCAATGGCTCAACGTCTAGTTGGCAACCTGTATGAAGTGGAGTGCCCCAGGGCTCAGTCCTGTGGATGGTTTTGTTCAACATCTTCATTAATGATCCGGAAAATGGGCTAGATTGCACCCTCAGCAAGTTCGCAGATGACACTAAGCTGGGAGGAGAGGTAGATATGCTGGAGGGTAGGGATAAGGTCCAGAGTGACCTAGACAAATTAGAGGATTGGGCCAAAAGAAATCTGATGAGGTTCAACAAGGACAAGTGCAGAGTCCTTCACTTGGGACGGAAGAATGCCATGCACCGCTACAGGCTGGGGACCGACTGGCTAAGCAGCAGTTCTGCAGAAAAGGACCTGGGGATTACAGTGGACGAGAAGCTGGATATGAGTCAACAGTGTGCCCTTGTTGCCAAGAAGGCTAACGGCATATTGGGCTATATTAGTAGGAGCATTGCCAGCAGATTGAGGGAAGTGATTATTCCCCTCTATTTGGCAATGGTGAGGCCACATCTGGAGTATTGCGTCTAGTTTTGGGGCCCCCACTACAGAAAGGATGTGGAAAAATTGGAGAGAGTCCAATGAAGGGCAACAAAAATGATTAGGGAGATTACGAGGAGAGGCTGAGGGAACTGGGGTTATTTAGTCTGCGGAAGAGAAGAGTGAGGGGGGATTTGATAGCAGCTTTCAACTACCTGAAGGGGGATTCCAAAGAGGATGGAGCTAGGCTGTTCTCAGGGGTGGCAGATGACAGAACAAGGAGCAATGGTCTCAAGTTGCAGTGAGGGAGGTCTAGGTTGGATATTAGGAAACACTATTTCACTAGGAGGGTGGTGAAGTACTGGAATGGGTTCCCTAGGGAGGTGGTGGATTCTCCATCCTTAGAGGTTTTTTTAAGGCTCGGCTTGACAAAGCCCTGGCTGGGATGATTTAGTTGGGTTTGGTCCTGCTTTGAGCAGGGGGTTGGACTAGATGACCTCCTGAGGTCTCTTCCAACCCTAATCTTCTATGATTCTAGGAAACAGCAGGTCTGGCTATCAGAGTGCCAACCCTCTGTGTATATAAACCCACGTTTCCCCTAGTGGTTTCAGTCCCTGATTTAATCTTACGTGATTTATTTTTCTTAGCGGATACAGAGAATCATTCTGTGGTTCAAATATATTAGGGTGTGGTTGGGGTGTGTGTGGAGGGGTGTGAGATAAGGTGCTACCAAAGTCATTATGCCAAGTCTGCATCTCTCACCCCTCCCTTGCTGTCTGCACAGAATGACATTTTTGAGTGGTGTCGAGACCACCGGGTGCATCACAAGTACTCAGAGACGGACGCTGACCCCCACAATGCGTGTCGTGGCTTCTTCTTCTCCCATATCGGCTGGCTCTTTGTCCGCAAGCATCGCGATGTCATAGAAAAAGGCAGGAAGTTGGATTTCACTGACCTGCTGGATGACCCTGTTGTGCGGTTTCAAAGAAAGTAAGTGAAAGCTCTGGAACTACTCCCAAGGGGGGATCTGAGCGGAGGTTTGGGGGGAATGAGGGTTGGAGATGGGGGAGGGGAGTTCACTTAGTCTATTTTTGATACATTATTTTATACTTTCCTTTTCTTTCCTCCCCAACATGCCCTTCCCTAAACTTGTTTGGAAATAGTAGAGCCCACCCCTCACAGTGGTAACCTGTTGGGTACCAGGACATCAGTCCTGCAAGCTCTTACTTCCAGGCCCCCTTGCCGGAGCAAACTAGCCTTTTCTTACCTTCCCCTCTTCCAAAAACACCAGGGCATGCAGTCACACGGAAAAAAAGAAAAGTCTGCATCTGGAGCTTTTAATTGGATTATATCAATGAATGCAATAAACATGATCATCAATAACAGCCTCAATGAGGAATCCCTCTGTCTGAATTATCCGCTGATCACCAACCTGACCCACAGGGCCCAGTCGAGCTGAACTGCTGCCTCTCCCAGTACCTTAATTCCTTTATAAAATGAGATGTCATCAGCTTGGCCCGCTGGGTTAGTACAGCCCAGACTGCAGCCTTCCCCAGTCCATTATCATCACTATGGTAGGGGACACTGATCTGGATGCTTCAGCCGGTATTGAAATTATAATATTTTCGAGTAGGTACTGCACAGGGTGTAGATACTATTCTCAGTGGTGAAAGTGTGACCAAGAGGGGTTTTAAAAGCCGGATAGGATCAATTCTGTTTGGTAGCCAGAGTATTATTTTTGGACACTACTGGGAAGAGAGGGTGGTCACGCCTATCTTTGCATTGCAGAAATCCCCAGGAAGGGCTGAACTAATCCCTGGTCAATGGGACTGGACCCGGGATGAAACTGATGCAATGCGTTGGTCTTGTTGTTTTAGCTGCTTTTTGGAGAGCAGTGAAGAATTCCACAGGACTTTGCAAAGTCTCCTTTGCAGTGTGTTTGAGTTTCCATAACTGTCTTCTCACCTTTGCTTGAGTGAATCATTTCCCATCTCAGACAGGCATTTCTGTAGTGCTTATATAACTGTGGCATAAGGTACATTTCTGTGCAGGGAAGATCGTCTTAGGCTTTGGCTACACTTGCACGTTATACTGCAGTAAAGCCTCCCAGAGCGCTCCATCTTACTCCCCGTCCACACTGGCAAAGCACATAGAGCACTCTGACTCCCTGGCTGGAGCGCTCCTGGTACTCCACCCCCCCGAGAGGATTAACAGCTGTTGCGCATTGGCTGAGATGCTCCAGCTCCAGTGTAAACAGGGAGTAACGTTATTGACCTCCGGAAACTCCCCATAAGCCTTTTAACTGAAGCGTCCTCTCTTGTTTTGTTAAAAGAAAAGGAGGACTTGTGGCACCTTAGAGACTAACAAATTTATTTGAGCATAAGCTTTCATGAGCTACACGAAACTAGCTGCAGCTAGCCAGAGATGTCAAGAGTAACAAGAAGGGTTTCTTCAGGTATGTTGGCAACAAGAAGAAAGCCAAGGAAAGTGTGGGCCCCTTACTGAATGAGGGAGGCAACCTAGTGACAGAGGATGTGGAAAAAGCTAATGTACTCAATGCTTTTTTTGCCTCTGTTTTCACTAACAAGGTCAGCTCCCAAACTGCTGCGCTGGGCATCGCAAAATGGGGAAGAGATGGCCAGCCCTCTGTGGAGATAGAGGTGGTTAGGGACTATTTAGAAAAGCTGGACGTGCACAAGTCCATGGGGCCGGACGAGTTGCATCCGAGAGTGCTGAAGGAATTGGCGGCTGTGATTGCAGAGCCATTGGCCATTGTCTTTGAAAACTCGTGGCGAACGGGGGAAGTCCCAGATGACTGGAAAAAGGCTAATGTAGTGCCAATCTTTAAAAAAGGGAAGAAGGAGGATCCTGGGAACTACAGGCCAGTCAGCCTCACCTCAGTCCCTGGAAAAATCATGGAGCAGGTCCTCAAAGAATCAATCCTGAAGCACTTGCATGAGAGGAAAGTGATCAGGAACAGTCAGCATGGATTCACCAAGGGAAGGTCATGCCTGACTAATCTAATCGCCTTTTATGATGAGATTACTGGTTCTGTGGATGAAGGGAAAGCAGTGGATGTATTGTTTCTTGACTTTAGCAAAGCTTTTGACACGGTCTCCCACAGTATTCTTGCCAGCAAGTTAAGGAAGTATGGGCTGGATGAATGCACTACAAGGTGGGTAGAAAGCTGGCTAGATTGTCGGGCTCAACGGGTAGTGATCAATGGCTCCATGTCTAGTTGGCAGCCGGTATCAAGTGGAGTGCCCCAAGGGTCGGTCCTGGGGCCGGTTTTGTTCAATATCTTCATAAATGATCTGGAGGATGGTGTGGATTGCACTCTCAGCAAATTTGCGGATGATACTAAACTGGGAGGAGTGGTAGATACGCTGGAGGGGAGGGATAGGATACAGAGGGACCTAGACAAATTGGAGGATTGGGCCAAAAGAAATCTGATGAGGTTCAATAAGGATAAGTGCAGGGTCCTGCACTTAGGACGGAAGAACCCAATGCACAGCTACAGACTAGGGACCGAATGGCTAGGCAGCAGTTCTGCGGAAAAGGACCTAGGGGTGACAGTGGACGAGAAGCTGGATATGAGTCAGCAGTGTGCCCTTGTTGCCAAGAAGGCCAATGGCATTTTGGGATATATAAGTAGGGGCATAGCGAGCAGATCGAGGGACGTGATCGTTCCCCTCTATTCGACATTGGTGAGGCCTCATCTGGAGTACTGTGTCCAGTTTTGGGCCCCACACTTCAAGAAGGATGTGGATAAATTGGAGAGAGTCCAGCGAAGGGCAACAAAAATGATTAGGGGTCTGGAACACATGAGTTATGAGGAGAGGCTGAGGGAGCTGGGATTGTTTAGCCTGCAGAAGAGAAGAATGAGGGGGGATTTGATAGCTGCTTTCAACTACCTGAAAGGGGGTTCCAAAGAGGATGGCTCTAGACTGTTCTCAATGGTAGCAGATGACAGAACGAGGAGTAATGGTCTCAAGTTGCAGTGGGGGAGGTTTAGATTGGATATTAGGAAAAACTTTTTCACTAAGAGGGTGGTGAAACACTGGAATGCGTTACCTAGGGAGGTGGCAGAATCTCCTTCCTTAGAGGTTTTTAAGGTCAGGCTTGACAAAGCCCTGGCTGGGATGATTTAACTGGGAATTGGTCCTGCTTCGAGCAGGGGGTTGGACTAGATGACCTTCTGGGGTCCCTTCCAACCCTGATATTCTATGATTCTATGAAACCTTATGCTTAAATTTTATTTATTTGTTAGTCTCTAAGGTGCCACAAGTACTCCTTTTCTTTTTGCGAATACAGACTAACACGGCCGCTACTCTGAATCTTGTTTTGTTGTGAACTCCGGACGCAGAACTGCCGTTTCAAAGCTCCATTTCTAGGGCTGCTTATCAAAAAAACAAACACAGCCCCTGTTGGCTTGGAATGAGCGAGAGGCAGGCCGGGGGGCTCCATCTGGAGTGCCGACAGCTAATGGTTGCTTGAAGAGAGAGGCGGCAGTGCCGGGGGGTTGGGGTCTGTTTCGGCGAGCGGCTGCTTAGCTTGTCTAGAGAAAAAAGAAACAGCTGCCCTTTGCTTTCAGTCAGTGAGTGAGAGAGAGGCAGGGGAGGGAGGAGGGTCTGAACTTACAAGTCAGCACGCTGACACACTCTCAGCCCCCCAAAAACCCACTCCCTCTCCCCCGCCCCCATTTGAAAAGCACGTTGCAGCCACTTGAATGCTGGGATAGCTGCCAACAATGCACTGCTCCCAATGCAGCTGCAAATGTGGCCACGAGACGGTGCGCTGGCAGCTGGCAGTGTGGACAGACTGCTGCTCTTTCCCTACTCCGCTGTACGAAGGCGGGTTTAACTCACAGCACTGTACATCTGTAAGTGTAGCCAAGGCCTTAGCAAGTGATATTGCTCTGGACTTGACAGTTGAGTTTTGGACTGTTTAGTCTAGTGAATTTAGAGTTTACATTTTCTTTTTCTCAGGAACGTAAACCTGTTTATGTCAACACCACATTGTTGTCAGAACAGAAGGTTATTATTTACTTCCTGGAAAAACAAAAGACGTCTGATTGGTAATAATAATGGTGAATTGTACCTCTCTAGTGGATTTCTTAGGACCAGATTATGTGACATCCTGACTCCCCTGGGTCCAATTCCATTGTCAGTTGCATTAATGTAAATCTGGAGTAAAACCGTTAATTTCAATGGAACTACTCTACATTTATGCTGGTGTAACAGAGAGCAGAACTTGGCCCACTGAGTCGTGCCTTAGTCCATGAATAATCAACTCCATTAACTGCAATGAAACTACTCCGTGTCAGGCAGTGTCCAGGGCCCTCTGGGGAGCTGCAAGCAGGTTTCAGGGGGTCCACCAAGCATGGCTGGTGTTTAGGCTCACTAGGGCCCAGTGCAGAAAGCCAAAGCCTGCTGCACAGGACTGCAGCCCAGGGTCCTGGGCCCCATCACCCGGGGCTGAAGCCGAAGCCTGAGCAACTTAGCTTCATGGTGCCCCCAGTGGCATGGGGCCCCAAGCGATTGTCCTGCTTGCTGCCCCCTAATGCCGGCCCTGGCTTTTATATGCAAAAAAACAGTGGTTGTGGCACCGGTGGGGCCGTGGAGGTTTTATAGCCTGTTGGGGGGCCTCAGGAAAAAAAAAGGTTGAGCCCCCCTGGTGTAAGGAACAATTCTGTGTGCGTAAAAGTACAACAATCGCTGGCCTTTAACTGCACAGCACGGGACCAAAGCTCAGAGTTAAGGACATACACACACACAATTGTGCTCGGAGTTTGCAGAAAAGGGAGGTTCACTTATTTTGCACAAGTAATCATCAGAGCTGGCTGAAAGATTTCAAGTAACTGCTTTTCTTTCTTGTGAAATGGCTGACGTTTTAAACCACATATTTTTGCAAAAAACGGTCGCCATGACTGAATTCTTTAACTTTTTGCTAAAACTTTTTGTGTTTTTTTTAAATTGAAATTTTAATTG